GTAAGGACTGGGTTTCGTTCCTGGCACCCATGTGGTGGCCCACCACCTTCTGTAACTCCAGTCACAGGGGATCTGACACCTGACCTTCACTGCCTCCCAGGCACACATGTGGTATACATATGAACATATAAACAAACTCCATAAAAAAACTAAAAGGCAATTGCGTGTATTGTATGCTCGAGTGTGTGTGTGTGTGTGTGTGTGCGTGTATGCACATGCCACAGCACTTGTGTGGCAGTCCGAGGATAAGTAACCTCTTTGCATTTTAAAGCCATATTCCTGAGCTCCAGATTTCTCCATTTGACTGTTTTTAGAGTGGATATATTTAGAGAAGTATTTTTATAGATACTTTTATACTAGGGACCTGCTACTTGAATTCTACACATAGAAGGAACATTCTTCTGCATTCAGTTCAACACAACAAATTCCAGTCAAAAGCTTATTTAAGACATTTCCCTGCTCTCGCTAAAGAAAACAAATATAAACTGAGCATGGTCGTACATGGCTTTAATCCTAGCACCTGGGAGGTGAAGGCAGGCGGGTCAATAGCTCAGAGCCATTGTTGGCTACAAAGCAAGTTTGGAGCCAGCCTGGGGTAGAAAGGAGGAGGAAGGGAGAAAGAGAGGAAGGAAGAAAATGAACCAAGGTGAACTGTAGGGCCATGGTGCTTTGTTCTGTTTGGTTATATTCTGAAGATAATTATTGCCTGATAAAGTAACATTTTAAGAAGTGTTGCTAGGGCTAGGGCCCTGAACTGGATAAAAGGGGGAAACGGAGAAAGTGAGCTCAAATGCAGCTCTCCCTGCACCCTGACTGTAGAGGTCTGCCACCAGGCTTCTCTGCTTTTAGAAGATTGTGTTCCCTCTAAAAGCAGGAGCCATAGGAAATGTGTTTTCAAGGATTTCGCCACAGCGATGAGAAGAGTGACGAATACAGCAGACCTCGCCAAAAGTAACTTTAAAAGTTGAGTGTGGCCAGGTGGTGGCGGCGGCGGCGGCGGCGGTGGCGGCGGCGGCGGCGGCGGCGGCGGCGGCGGCGGCGGCGGCGCACTCCTTTAATCCCAGCACTCAGGAGGCAGAGCCAGGCGGATCTCTTGTGAGTTCGAGGACAGCCTGGTCTACAGAGGAAAATCTAGGACAGCCAGGGTGACACAGAGAAACCCTGTCTTGAAAAAGAAAAAGAAAAAAAGAAAGAAAGAAAGAAAGAAAGAAAGAAAGAAAGAAAGAAAGAAAGAAAGAAAGAAAGAAAGAAAGAAAGAAAGAAAGAAAGAAAGAAAGGAAAAAAAGCTGAGTGTGATGGCACATGCCTTTAACCCCAGCACTCGGGAGGTAGAGCCAGGTGGATCCTTGAGTTCAAGGCCAACCTGGTCTACGGAGTGAGTTCCAGGACCACCTTTTTATTTTATGTGTATGAGTGTTTGGCCTGCATGTGTGAGCCCAGTGCCCCCTCAGGCCACAAGAGGTTGTCAGTTTTCCTGGAACTGGAGGTACACATAGTTGTGAGCTGCAGTGTGGGAGCTGGGTGCCGAACCTGGGTCCTCTGCAAGAGCAGCAAGTGCTTTTAACTGCTGAGCCATTTCTCCAAACCCCCAAAATAACTTCTATTTCTAAGAAGACACATAAAAACAAGAAGTCATAAACTGGTAGAAAATATTTGTAAAACACACAGTACACTGGTATTCAAAATATGTAACAAATTCTCATAACTCAGTAATATAAAAAGCTTACTAAATATCTTTGACCCATGTCAGCTTGAAAAAAGTGTTTAAGAGGGTTGGAAAGATGGCTCAGCAGTTAAGAGCACTGGTTGCTTTTCCAAGGGATCTGGTTCATTTCTCAGCTCCCACATGGTGCTCACAATGCCTTATAATTTCAGGTCTAGGAGATCCAATGTCCTCTTCTGGCTTTTATGGGCCTCAGGTATGCACATGGTGTATTAATACATATGCAGGCAAAACTCCCATACACATAAATAAGTAAATTAAAAAATAAATAAGGAATTTTTAAAAATCTAGCAAATTTGGAAAGGCTATGAGCAAAACTTTTGTTAGAACGTACACATGGTGATTGCCTTTAATCCCAATGCTCAGGGAACAGAGGCAGGCAGATCTCTGTTAATTGGAGGCCAGCCTGGGCTATATAGTGAGTTCCAAGAGAGGAAGAGCTATGAAGATCCTGTCTCAAAACAACAACAACAACAACAAAAATACAATGTACACAAAAGTTTGAATGCTAGTTTCTATACACTTTGTCATGGTTTTTCTCATTCTTCTTTTTGAGACAGGGTCTGCGTTGCCTTGCCTGTTCTGGAACTCTCTCTGTACACCAGGCTGTCCTCAAACTCACAGAGATCTGCAGGCATCTGCCTCATGAGTGCTGGGATTAAAGGCGTGCGCTGCCATGACCCACTTGGTTTCTCCCATTTATTTGTAAATAATGTGCGCGCACGCACACACAAACACACACTAGTTCATTTGTGGTACTGAGGGTTCCAGCTAGGCTTTCAGATCTGTTTGCTTATTTATTTAGTGTGACCAGAGATAACTATCACTTTCGGGGGAGGGCTTCTCTCCTTCTACCTTGTGGGTCCCAGGATGGAACTCCTCATCAGGCTTCATGGCAAGTGTCTTTCTTTACCCACTGAACCATCTCCCTGCCCCCCAGCTCCTTTTTATTATTTTTCATTTTGAAATAGTCGCACTCCATTGATCAGACTGACTTTGAATTTGTTCTGTAGCCCAGGTCAGCCTTGAATTTGTGATCCTTTTGCTTCCGTCTTCTGGCTGGCCTCCATCTTTCCATGCTGGGTGAATAGCCTGCAGACTTCACTGCACATAAGGGATTCCATCTCAGATGCGCTTTGTTCTGCTCTTCCACAGCGGGGCGTTTTAGGTTGTGCTACCTATTTCTAGGGGGAAGTAATGGGTTTTAACTGACCCTGGACACTAATCTATTATTTAAATTTTGAAGGCTCCAACTGGGCATGTGTTTGTGCCACAGTGGGTATGTGGAAGTCTGGGAACAGTTTATCTAGTCTCCTAGCGTATGGGCCCAGGGAATGTACTGCAGGTAGTCAGGCATGGCAACAAACCCCTCACCAGCTGGCCATCTCCCCGCCCTGTTTGGTTCGTGTGCATGCATATGCAACATATATGGCTGTCAGAGGACAACTTTGGAGAACTGGTTCTCTCCTTCCACTGTGGGTTCTGGGGATCAAATGAAGCAAAGTGTTAGGCGTATATAACAAGTGATTTTTACCTTCATGAGCCTTCTCACTGGCCCCCAACATTTTCATTTTTAGATAGGTGGTAAATTCGATCAATGAAATGTGATCGTTTGTCATACTGTTTTTCTTTTCTCATCAGACAGGTATGTAGCTGGAAGTTTCTCAGTCCTGCCCGGCCCCATGATCCCACAGCCACTTATAAAATAATCACTTAGAGGCTTATTTTAATTACAAACTGTATGGCCTATGGCTTCAGCGTCCACTCGGAACTAGTAGTCTGTCTACTAGCTCCTAGCTCCAAGCTTGGCCTGATCTGACCTTCGGAGTGCCAGAGGATGCTTCAGGCAGTAACCAGGCCTTTCCACAGCCAGATGACGAGTCCTCAAGGCCAGGGAATTGCCACTGGCTGCAGGTTCCTGAGCCTGTCCAATGCCCAGGAATGAGAAGGACCATGTGGAACCCCTTTTAGTTCAATCTACATAAACAGAAAACTCTAGATAGTGAAAGAAAGGTAACACTTGATGACAACAACAGAGAATTCTGGCCTGTCAACCAATTTTCAGACTTGAGCCAGTTTACAAACCCAGAACCCCTTGAAGGGAAGGCCAGGTCCCCTCGAGTAAGAGGCATGTTACAATACAGAGGCGTCTATGTTAGCCTTTCGTGTATCCTTTATACAGAGGGACGAAGGCTGTTCTAACAGTGCAATTGTACCTCTGAGAAATGGAAACATTTGGACATCCCAAGGCCTAGTGGATACTGGTTCTAAACTGACAATAATTCTGAGTTAAAGTAGGGATTTGTGGCTGTCAGGTGATCAACATGCTTGTTTTGTTCTTTAGATTTTTAATCTTTTGTGTATGAGTGTTTTGCCCGAATGTGTGTATATGCACCATGTTAGTGCCTAGTTAGTGGTGGAAGAGGTTGGTCAGATCCCCTAGAACTGGAGTTAAGGATGGTTGTGAACCATCCTGTGTGTGCTGGGAACTGAACTTGGGTCCTCTGCAAGAGTAACAAGTATTCCTAACCTCTGAGCCAAGGCTCCAGCCTAAAAGAATTTTGTGGAAGTCAAATTCACAATGGGTCCTGGAACTTTTTCTAAGTCCCAGAATGTGTAATTGGGAGGGAGAGACCTAAAAGTGGCTAAAATGCCCACACTGGCGTCCCATTTTAGAAACTGTCAGAATCTCCACTTTGGTATCTCGCTTTTGGAACTCCCAGCATTCCCACACTGGTGTCACATCCATGTGGTGTAAGGCAGCATCAGGCTGCGCTCGCTGAGCAGAGCGCCTGGGAGGAATATGGGGAGGTTGTGGGCTCAGGGCTCAGCCTGGTGGGGAGATCTGGAGCGTACCCTGAGGCCCCCCGGGACGGACCAGAGCCTAGGCCACCGTTGGCTCGCCCGCGTCCCCACGCGGCCCGCGCGCCCCTCGGCCCGGCCGTCGCCGCCCCCCACATTCCACAGGCCGCTGCGCAGTCTCCTTCCTCGCATTCCTGACGGGGCAAAGGAGTCCCTCCGCCGCCACCCCCGCCACCCCTCCCCAACGGGGCCTCGGAGCGCAGGGGGCGCGGCCCCGAGCTGCGCGCGCATTCCTCCGCCGCGCGCGCCCCCGTCCCTCCCTCCCTCGCCGCCACGGCCCCGCGCGAGCGCGCGGCCCACGCCGAGCGACCGCGACCCCGGCCCCGCCCCGGCCCGTGCCCAGGGGTCCCGGGGCGGGCTGCGGGCCGGCGGACGATGCAGCGGCGCTGTCGGAGCGGCGGCGGCGGGCGGCGGAGGTGACGCGCCGCGGCGGCGGGCCGACGGCCATGCAGCGCTCGCGGACGGCCGCAGACGACGCGGCTCTGCTCCTGGCCGGGCTGGGCCTGCGCGAGCCGGAGCCGGCCGCCGACTCCCCCGGGCGCGTGCGGCGCGGGCCTCGGGCGGCGGACGAAGCGGCGCCAGCGGCGGGCCGCAGAGGCAAGGGCGGAGGCGGCGGCGGCGGCGGCGGCCCCGAGGCCGCGCCCGACATCCCGAGCCGCCCCGAGCGAGGCCCGCGCGCCAGCCTGGCGGGCTCGGACGGCGGCAGCGCGCGCTCCAGCGGCATCAGCCTGGGCTACGACCAGCGCCACGGCCCCGGCCCCGGGCCGCCGTCGGGGGGCAGCGCGCGCTCCAGCGTGTCCAGCCTGGGCTCCCGCGGCTCGGCGGGCGCCTATGCCGACCTGCTGCCGCCCGGTGTCGGCCCCGCGCCCGCCCGCTCTCCGGAGCCCGCCCCGTTCCCGTTCCCGTTGCCGTCGCTGCCGCTACCCCCGGGCCGGGAGGGCGGCCCGAGCGCGGCAGAGCGGCGGCTGGAGGCGCTCACGCGGGAGCTGGAGCGCGCGCTCGAGGCGCGCACGGCGCGAGACTACTTCGGTGAGCGCGCGGGCCGGGCCCGGGGTCCGGGGGTCCGGGATGCGCTAGGCGCGGGTGGGGTCTGTTCTCCCGCCAGATGCGGGGGTGTCGCGCGCTTCCTGACTTGACGCCGGGATGCGGGGCGGGCGGGGTGGGGGGGCAACAAAATCAGGTAGATTGGCAAAGTAAGCTATTTTCTGGACACTTCAAAAAAGTTTTACTTAAGAGGCAAGGTCTCACTGGGTAGCTCTGGCTGGCCTGGAACTCACAGAGATCTTGCCTCTGCCTTCCCAGGATTGGCAAAAGATGTAGTTATGTATGCAAGGGTACCCTAGGAGGCCAGAAGAAGGTGTCAGATCCTTTGGAGCTGGAGTAACAGTCCATTGTGAGCAGATACGGATGCTGAGAAGGGAATTTGAGGCCTCTGCAAGAGCAGCAAGCGCTCTTAATTGCTAACCACTTAAGTCCCTTTTGCTGGGCATTCTTCATCCTTAGCATCGCTCCAGCTCACCCTACCAATGCTTGATGAAGAGCAGAACGGAAGTCTACCTCCCCTTCCAATTGTGTGAGCCATGGTTAGGGAGAGAGATGAGGTGCCTTAGGTACCCCTGAACCCCTGTGACAGAGGCTTCAGTGCTGGTACTGGCTGCAGGTAGGACTGTGTGAGGCCACAGGACCAGGCCAGGCACACCAGGGTGCTCTGGCCTGAGTCGCATATACTGTGTAGTTCCTAAAGGAATACTGGGCTAGGGGTAGAGCACTTGCCGAGAGCACTCAAGGTTCTGGGTTTGTTCCTCAGCAAGGCAAAACAAACAGAACCACAAACCAACCTCACAGCTGGATACACAAAGGAGAAGTTCAGACTTCAGCCAGGCATGGTTGGTACAGACCTGTAATCCCAGCACTTGGGAAGCAGGAACAGTAAGATAGTTCAAAGTTCAAAGCCAGCCTGGTCTGCATACAGTTCCAGGCCAGTCAGGACTACATAGCAAGACCTTCCTTCTTTCAAAAAGTGGCAACAGAAAATGGACTTTATACTACCAAATACCAAAGAAAGGAAATAAGACTCACAACAGCTTTGGCGAAGTAGTTGCATGCAGTAGCCCAACAGTCTCTGAGGGCTTTGCTTAGCACACTACTTAAGGTGAATCAGGGTAGAGGGATTGAAGCTCCTGGCTTGGAGGGTATGCATGGTTAGCAAGCCTGGGACAGGCCTGGCAGACTTCGAGCCTTCTCAGTCCAGTAGAACTAGTGGCTCTGGGTTGCTTTGAAGTAGATCTTGGGGGACTAGAGGCTGCCTTTTAGCAGGTCGGTGGGTGCATTCCAGGACAGAGGAGAATAGTGAGGTTAGAAGGTTGTAGCCCAGGATAGGTCAACGTCAAGGGCGTGTGTGGGCTAAAGGGGTGGCCTGTCTCTGGAATGAGGTGCTTGGTCCGATGTGAGAAGTCAGGATGGGAATCTGTGGTTTAGCAGATGTGGTGGTGGCTGCTGGTAGTGGGCTGGGAGTAGGAAGTGACTGGGAAACTGGCCTCCTGCAACAAGCCACTGAGGCATCTTCTGAAGGGTCGAGCATCTGGCCCCTGCACACTGGCTGGCATTAGCTACCCATTGTCCCCCATGGCTGCTCCGGAGACTGCATGTCACCCTGGGTAGGTAATGCTGGAAGTAAGGATACTGGTGGCCAAAAACAGGAAGAGAGGAAGGTTCCTTCACAGAGCAGCAAGGGTTCGGCTTTAGTCCTTTGAAGCCCTGGAGGAGTCTGAGCTGGCTGATTATAGGAGGCTCCCCTCAGAGTAAAGTCTCATCTAGTGCTAGGTAGTCTAGATTGAGCTCTTTAGCCAACGATAGCCTTTATCTCTTGCCTTCACTCCAAGTGGTGAGATTACAGGTGTGCACCACAGCCAGATTCTGGGGTGATGAGGATGGAACCTGGGGCTTCATGCATGCTAGGCAAGCACTCTGTCAACTGAACCATGTCCCCAGCCCCCCTCCCCTTTTAGAGAGGGTCTCATCCTGTAAACCAACCTGACCTTCAACTACCCACCTTCCTGCCTCAGCCTTCCTAAGTGTTGGAATTGCAGGTCTGGCCTTAGTGCTGGTCCCTCACCCCCCAACCCCCAAGCCTGTTTTTTTCTGGTTCTTAAAAATACAGGCAATTTTGCTTGAACTATGTATCTGATGACAGCTGATGTTTTGAGCTATAAAAATGGCAGTTTCCAGGTGTGTTAAACACCTGTAATCTAAGCACTTGGAAAACTGAGGCAGAAGGATTATGCATCCCAGGCCAGTCTGTGCTATAGAATGGCAGAAAACAAAAATGTTTGAATTTCCAGTTTGTTTTTTAATTTAAAGACCAGAGCTTTGGCCCAGGCTGAGCTCTTCCTGTTTCAGCCTCACAAGTGCTGGGATTATAGGCATTCGCCAACCTCTGCAGCTAGATCCAGTTTGCATTTTAAAACATTTCAAAATCTTGTCGGCAGTGGTGGCGCACACCTTTAATCCCAGCACTGGGGAGGTAGAGGCAGGTGGGTCTCTGTGAGTTCGAGGCCAACCTGGTCTACAGAGCGAGATCCAGGACATCCAAGGGTACACAGAAAAAAAAAAAAATTCAAATCTTTCAACCTGAATAAATAAATACCTCTTAGAGAAGGAAGTCTGGCCTCCAAAAACCTTGTCTATATCGTGCTCCCCTGCCTGTGCCATCCCTCCTCACTGAGCCCCGCTTCAGCTGACCTCTCGGTACCCCGTGCCATTTACTCCTGTCTTGGAACTTTGCCTTCTCCTCGTGAGTTCGACCACAGCCTCAGGCTCCTGGAAGCTCCTCTGCTGCTAAGACGCCTCAGACCACACCCTGTGTTTGCTTCTCTTCCGCAGCCTTTGGTTCTGACTCCTATTTGATTCTTCACAGGACCCCCACTCTGAATTGCTGGGATTCTCCCCCCCCAACACACACACACACACACACACACACACACACACTTCGCTATTCTGCCTGGCTGTTAGGGGTTTGGAGAAAGCCCCTGGGACCCGGATGGATTTTTTTTTTTAATATTGTAGAAATTACATGTGTGTGTGGGAGGGGTGTATGTGGGTGTAGAGACATGAATGCTGTGGTCTGTGTATAGAGGTCAGAGACCCATTTGTGGGAGTTGGTTCTTTCCCTCTACCCTGCAGGTCTTGAGGCTTGAACCCAGGTGGTCAGCTTTAGCTGCAAGACCCTCTGAGCCATTTCACTGGCCCTGGAATAATTGCTGGTCTTTGACCTCAGTGGTTTTCAGGACTCTACTTGTTCCGCTTAGCCTCAGTCAGTATGCCTTTCTATTCCCTCAACAGCCCTCTGGTCTCCTGCCACACATCCCACTTTCCACGTCGCTCAGAGTCCTGAGGTCCGCCAGGGTAGTCTTCCTGTTCCTCCCGCATGCTTTCAGTCCCGGCCGGCCTCACTCCTGCCATCTGAGAGGGTAGCAGTCTTCTCTCTAACCTCTTCCTCCAGCTTAGCTCCCCTCTCACCGTTGGCCCCTTCCTTTCCGTTATAAATCTGTAGAAGGAACACTCACATGAGTGCGCGCACAAACACACCCCACACACACACACACACACACACACACACACACACACACACTGGTGAGATGGCTCAGTGGCTAACCCAAGCCTAACCTCCCAAGTTTGGTCCCGGAATCCACATGGAAGCAGGAGAGAACCGACTCCTGCCCACTTGTGTACCGCGGCATGCACATATACTCGTGTGTGCACATGTACACAGAGTCCCTCTGCCCTTTCATCTACCTTCCCTGTCTCAGTCCTTGCCTATACCCTCCCTCCCCCTCATTTCCGAGGTGTCTTGTGCCCTGGAGTCACCTTCTTTTTCTTCCAGGCAGACTCTCCTTCTGTGATTCAGGCTGGCCTAGAACTCATCATCCTTCTGCCGAGTTTTCTGATCACTGCGATTGTAGGGATATACCACCACACCTGCCCATTCTTTTTTTTTTTTTTTTTTAAATTATTTATTCTTATGTACATTGGTATTTTGCCTTCATATATGTCTATATAAGGGTGTCAGATCTTGGAGTTACAGACAGTTGTGAGCTGCGATGTAGGTGCTGGGAATTGAACATAGGTCCTCTGGAAGAGCAGTCAGTGCTCTTATCCGCTGAGCCATCTCTCCAGCCCCCCATACCTGGTCATTTTTATTAAAGCAATCTGGGTACATAGAGAATATACACAGAAATTAATGCAACATAGGAGCTTCCTTTTTTTTTTTTTTTTTTTTTTTTTTTTTCCTTGAGACAGGGTTTCTCTGTGCAGTTTTGGTGCCTGTCCTGGATCTCGCTCTGTAGACCAGGCTGGCCTCCAACTCAGAGATCCGCCTGGCTCTGCCTCCCGAGTGCTGGGATTAAAGGCGTGCGCCACCACCGCCTGGCGGAGCTTACCTTTTTAACACACCCTTTCACCCTCTTTTATACTTTTTTGTTATTTTTTAATTTTTAAAGATCTGTTAACTTTATATGTATGAATATTTTGCCTGCATGTATGTATGTGTGCCACATGCATGTCTGGTGCCCACAGAGCCCAGAAGAGGGTGTCAGATCCCCTGGAGCTGGAGTTACACATGATTGTGAGCATCCATGTGAGTGCTGGGAACCAACCCCAGCCAGTCTTCTTCACAGGGATCTGCCAGCCTTGGCCTCCCTACTCCATCTTCCAGTGTCGACTGCTGTAGTTTAGTCAAGTACGTGGGGAGGTCTGATTCTCAAAGCTGCTGGGGGAGGGGAGGAAGACCTCTTTTACTCTCGGAAGAGAAGTCTGGCAGTGTGTCAGGGTGGGTTTTTGGGGCCTGGATGGCATGCCAGTTACATTCTGAAGAATCAGGACTGAAGGGAAGGGACGACGTCGAGATTAGGAAACAAACCAGGTGTGGTGGTTCATAGCCGCTATACCCTACCTATACTTGGGAGACAGGTCGAGAGTGCTTGAGCCCAGGGTACGGAAGCTGGCCAGGGCAACACAGAGAGGACCAATCAAGTGGTCAGTGTTACAACATTGTCTACTAAGCTGACAGCCTGGGTTCAGTTCCCCAGGACCCACATGATCAAAGCCGAGTCCGTGACGGTGGACCAAGAGCGTGGGTAGAGGAGCAGCTGAGAGGCCACATCGTCTTTTATTTTTTGTGAGACAGGGTCTCTCTGCCAGCCCTGGCTGCCTGGGAACTTGCCATGTAGATCAGGCTCATCTTGAACTCACAGAGACCCGCCTGCCTCTGCCTTCAGAGTGCTGGAATTAAAGGTGTGTGCCACCACACCTGGCTGAGAGCTCACATCTTGATTTGAAAGCATGAGTAAGAAATTTGGAAATGCCCAGTCTTTTGAAACCCCTCCCAGTGACACACCTTCTCCAACAAGTTCCCAAACAGTTCCACCAGTGGGGACCAAGCATTCAAACATGAGTCTATGGGGGCTGTTCTCATGCAAACCACCACCCTGGGTTGCTACAGGGAGCAGCCTTTTGGGTCTCCAGGGGGGCTGGGCTAAAAGTACACAAGGCTTGGAGCAGGCATCCTCCTAACACCGCTGGTCAGTCCTGTGTTTCTTCCTTTATTTGGCCTGCTGGGGTCCCCAGTTCCATCCAGTATTCCTAGATCCCTGCATAAAAAGCGCTGTCCGTGGTGTAGACACTACAAAGGGACTGTCCTTCACTATCCTGTGTAAAAATCCTCCAGGTGTGGGGGGGGGGGGGGGCGGTCACACGTGTCAGATGTGAGCTGCTGAGCTGAAGCTCTAGCCCCAAGGTTTGTGTATTTATAGACCAGATCATGCTATGCAGCCTGTGCTGTTTTGGAACTTTCCATGAGCCCAGACTGACCCTGAACCTGAGATGCACTACATCAACCTCTCCAGTTCCCAAATGTGTCAACGTACCTGGCCCTCTAGCTTTTTTCTTTGTTTTGGTTTGTTGGAGATGAGGGCTTACATAGCCCCTGCTGCCCTCCAGTGTGCTGTGTGCCTGGCCTGTCTTCCGAGTGCCAGGGTTGCAGGTGTGTGCCACCATGCCCAGCTACCCTAGATTTTTAAAATAGATCCTTTGTAAAGTTTTTTATTTATTTTTACTTTTATTTATGTGTATGTTTGTGCCTGCTTACCTGTATGTGCACCATGTGTGTGCAGTGACTGTGGAGGCCAGAAGAGGGTGTCTGAGCCCTTGGAACTGGAGTTAGAGGTGGCTGTGAGCCACCATGTGGGTGCTGGGAAGTACTCTTAACCACTGAGCCATCTCTCCAGCACTGATTTATCCATTCATTTCTTTTGGACCGATTGACTTTATGAGTGTTTTGCCTGCATGTGTGTATGTCTGTGTACCACTTGCATGCCTGGTGCCCTCAGAGATCAAGAGGGCATTGGACCCTCTGAAACTAGAGTTGTGGATGGCTGGGAACCAAGTGAGTGCTGGGAACTGAACCCAGGTTCTCGGCAAGAGCAGCCAGTGCTTTTAACCACTGAGCCATTCTCCAGTCTCTCGATCCAGTCTTTAAAAAGACTTATTTATTAATGTAATTTTTACATCCACCTGCAGTTTCCCTTCCCTCCTCTCCTCCCATTCTCCAACCCCCCCCCCCTGCGCCCCATTTCTCTTCAGTAAAGGGCAGGCCTCCCCTGGATATCAGCCAGCCTAGCATATCAAGTTGTGGTAAGACTAGGCACCTCCTGCCCTATTAGGGCTGGACAAGATAACCCAGTAGGAGGAAAAGGGTCCCAAAAGCAGGTAATGAGTCAGGGACAGCCCATGCTCTCACTGTTAGGAGCCCTACAAGAAGACCAAGCTTCACACCTGTATAATATGTGCAGAGGCCTAGGTCAGTCCTGCAGGCTCCCTGGTTGTCCGTTCAGTCTCTGTGAACCCCTATGAGTCGAGGTCAGTTGATTCTGTGGGTTTTCTTGTGGTGTCCTTGACCGCTCTGGTTCCTACAATCCTTCTTCTCCCTCTCCCTCAGGATTCCCCAAGCTCTGCCTAATGTTGGCTGCAGGTCTCTGCATCTGTTTCCACCTCGATCTGTTCTTTTTTTAATGACTTATTTATTTTTATTTTATGTTCATTGGTGTTTTGCCTGTATGTATGACTGTGTGCGGGTATCAAATCCCCTAGAACTGGAGTTACAGACAGTTGTGAGCCACCATGTGGGTGCTGGGAGTTAAACCCGGGTCCTCTGGAGGAGCCATCTCTCCAGCCCCTCGACCTGTTCTTACGTTTCTCCAGTGTATTTGTTCATCATCACTCATCGTCATCACTGTTACTGTTGTTTATTGTTGTTGTTGGAGGCAGGGTCTCCAGATAGACCTCTGGTTAACCTCCAGCTTGCCATGTAGCCCAGGCTGGCCTGGAACCCCGAGCTGTCCTCTTGCCTTGGTCTCCTGAGTGCTGGGGTCACAGGCATGTGTCATCTAACATGTTCCCTGTTCATCTGACGTGTGACTTGTATGTGTCTCTCCTCTGGAACACATGGTTCTTGGGGCTGGGGATTTTTCTGCACTAGGGTTTCTCTACATTTAAGAAGTGGTGCACACCTTTAATTCCTGCACTCGGGAGGCAGAGCCAGGTGGATCTCTGAATTCAAGGCCAGCCTGGTCTACAGAAGGAGTTCCAGGACAGCTAAGGCTACACAGAGAAACCTTGTCACTAGAAAAATCAAAAAGAAAAAGAAGAAGGTAGGGTGAGCAGGCAGCAGGCTATGTTTGTGAAATGCACTCGGAACACTTGAATCTTGTACAGATGAGGAAGGGCACCAGTCAAGGGCAGTGAAGTCTTTGAGTGTACCTGTGTGGGTCCAACCTTCCAGACCTGCCTCTTGTGGCCCCTATCCACCAGCCAGGTACCATGTCCCTAAGTTTCCATGGCTTTCCAAGAGTGCCCCCAGCCAGATGCTTCAAACGTGGGCAAATTCAGCTTCCAGCAGTGTCCTTGTAGCTGAATGTTAGCTGTTCGGAACCTGGCACTGCTGGCCTGGGGGCCTGGCTGGCACCCAGCTCCACAGGACACAGTACCAGCTGCTGCTCTCCTGCTCCTCCTCACAGGCATTTGTATCAAGTGTGGGCTTGGCATCTACGGCGCGAGGCAGGCGTGCCAGGCAATGGGGAGCCTGTATCACACCGACTGCTTCGTCTGTGACTCCTGCGGTAGGTAACAGCCCCTGCCCCGCCCCTGCTGCCCCACCACCCCCTGTACCCAAGTCTCAGACAGGAAACCCTCAGCTGGGGTGTAAGGAGGCTGCTCCCATCCTCCCATTCTCCCTTTGCGCGTGGCTTGTGACACCTTGCTGGGCCTGGCCTGAGAGGCGCAGGCTTAAGGAAGTGCCATGGAACCAGGGAGGGGCCTTTTGCTGGCTGTCAGCAAGGCTCCTCTGGGGTCCTAGGCTGTGATGCTTCCATCTACATAGGGTACTTGTCTGCCTGGGAGGGATAGGGGTGTGGGTGAGGGGCCTTCTACCATCTGGACGTGAGGTTAAAATTTTTAAACAATCTTTAGATTTATTTATTTTATTGTATAAATGTTCTTGGCTGCATGCATGTGTGCACACCACATGTGTGCCTGTTGGACCTCCTAGGACTGGCGTTGTGAGTCACCATGTGGGTGCTGGAAATTGAAGCCGGGTCCTCTAAGAGCAGCCAGTGCTCCTAACTATGCCCTGCCTGCCTGGGATACTTCCACACTCTTATTTTATCACAGTAGAGTACATAGTATCCAGTCAAAGAGAAGCTGCAGTGTCAAGCCCTGAAGATAGTGACTCTGCCTGTAATACGGCCTCCCAGGAGACCGAGGCAGAACAGAGTTCAAAGCCAGCCTAGGTGACATAGAGACCCTTCCTCAAAAAGAAACAGTGGGATCCCTCTGTATCTAAGGATGCACTACCATTCCTTGGTGTCAGTTTGGGCAAATCTGTCTACTTCACTGTGATGTGCAGAGCCCTCTTAGGCCTCATGGTCTCCCATCCCTCTGGATAAGTCAGTAATCCACAGTTATCTTATTCCCACCGAATAAATGCTGTCCACAGCAGAATCAAGTGTACTGTGGTTAGGTGTCCCCCCCCACACTTTTTTTTTCTAGTTTTTCAAGACAGAGCTCTATATAGCTCTGGCTGTCCTGGAGCTTAATGTGTAGACCAGGTTAGTCTCAGACTCACAGAGATCCTCCTGCTTCTGTCTCCCGAGTGGAGTGCTGGGTTAAGGGCATGTGCCACCATGCCTGGCTTGAGATTTTCTTTAAAAAGAGGGAGGGCCAGGGCAGGAGATGGCTCAGTGTGGAAGGTGCTTGCTGCACGAGAAGAACCCGAGTTTGAGCCCCAACATCCACGAGTGTAGCCACACTGATCCCAGTGCTGGGGCAGTGGAGACAGGACCTCATGGGTTGCTGACTAGCTCATCCAGCCAGTTGGTGAGCCCCAGGGTCAGGGAGATCCTGTCTCAAAGAATAAGTTGGAGAGGAATCAAGGAAGCTTACAGTGTTAACCTCTGGCTTTCACAAGCATGTTCACACATACACAAATTGAATTTGCCTTGTTCAACTATAACCTCAGGAGTTTTTTCCTCCTCAAATGCACCCTTCAGTCAGGCTTTGTGAGGAGCCGCCGCCAGGGGCCTGATCGGTCTGAACTCTGCTGTCTAGACCTGGGTGGGAAATGAATAGTTTCCTTCTGCTGCACAGTCTCTGGACTGAATTCACTGCTCCCTGGAGGCTTTTTGTTTTTAATAATTTGTTGAAATTTAGTTTATGTGCATTGGTGTCAAGGTTTCAGACAGTTATGAGCTGCCGTTCGGGTACTGGGAACTCAACCCGGGTCCTGTGCTCTTAACCGCTGAGCCATCTCTCCAGCCCCCTCCCTGGAGACTTAACCACAGGTAGCTGGGAAGCTCTTGGGGACGGAGGCAGGACTGTTCTCTGCCTGGGCCAGGCCCTGGATTTGGCTTTATCCCGAGGGTGGCTGCTCCCACGAGCGTGATTTCTTTCCATCCGTGTCTCCTGTGTGAGCAGTGCACTGCTCCTGACTGTCACACAGCTGTCTGTTGTGTGAGCGGACCACAGCTTGTTTCTCTGTAATCGTAGTAGACACCAGACTGTGCCACGATCCGTTTTCCCTTCCTTGAGTGAATTGCAAGGAGCAGGATTTGGGGGTCTAGGGTGTGTGTGTGACTTTATGAGAGACTGCCAAATTGTCTTTCCAAGGAGCTTACTATCGACAGTCCCCATAGAGCCCACGAGCCGCTGTGCTCCGCACATTTGCCAACACTTGGTGCTGCCGTCTTTCTGTAGTCGTTCTGCTGGGTGAGAGAGATCTCACCGTGAGTCCATGTGCATCCCCAGTGGGCATCTGACTGGTTGCTTTTTGGCCATTAATAGATCTTCTGTTCTTTAAAAAAATACATTTTTATTGTGTATTTGTGTGTATGTGTGTATGCAAGCATGCATGCATGCATGCACATGTGTTTGCATGTATGTTGGGAGTTGGGACAAACTTGCAGGAGTCAGTTCTCTCCTCCCCTATGTGATTCCAGGGATCACACGCAGGTTGTCAGGTGTGGCAGCAAGCATCTTTGTTGCTGAGACATCTTGCCAGCCTACTATGTACTTTTTGGAGAAATCTGTTCAAATGTTTGCCTATTTTTATAAAGTTGGGAATTATTTGCATTCCCCCCCAGGGTTTCTCTGTGTAAGAGCCCTGGGTGTCCTAGAACTTAACTTACTCTGTAGACCAGACTGACCTTGAACTCACAGAGGTCTTCCTGCTGCTACCTCATTATTTGCCTTTACTGAGTTGTAGGAGTTTACTTACAGGCATTCAGGTCCAAATTATTTCACAGGTGTATATTTTGTGAGTCATTTTTCTTCGTGTGATTTTTTTAAAAGATTTATTTATTATGTATACAGAGTTATTTATTCATTCACCCACCTGTTTATTTATTTATATATTTATTTGGTCATTCATTTATTTAATTAATTTATTTGGAGTGTGTGTGTGTGTGTGTGTGTGTGTGTGTGTGTGTGTGTTTTCAGTGCCAGCAAAGGCTAGGAGAGTGTGTCAGATCCCCTAGAGATGGAGTTAACAACCAGTGTGAGCCACCTAATGTGAGTGCTGGGAATCTAACTTGGGTCTTTGGCAAGAGCAATGTGCAATCTTAACCATGAACCAACCTCTTCTCCAGCCTCATAAATGTAGTTTTATTAAAGGCATGTGCCTTTAATCCTGGCACTTGGGAGGCAGAGGCAGATGTGGTCTGCAAAGCAAGTTCCAGGACAGCCAGAGCTGTCTCAAAAAATAAAACAAAACAAAACAAAACTTGTAGCTTTGTTTTCCCAATATTGGTTCCTGGAATAAAAATGCATTTGGACGTTTGGACGTTCTCATATGCTGGCCTTCTAGCCTATCCTGGAATTTCAATAAACTTAGTAGGGTTAGTGGGTTACTAATGATTTTCTCTACAACTCAATCATGTCGACTGTGATCATAGATAGCTTTACTTTTTTCTAGTCTCCGTCACCTCTAATTCCACATGTCCCATTATTATACACTGCCTAGAACTGCTAGCACAAGACTGAATAATCTTGTTTGTTTGTGGTATTGGAAATCTAACCCAGAGCCACACCCCAGCCCCTCACTGGGGGATTCTAAGCAGGGGCTCCACCACTGAGCCACACACCCAGCCCCTCACTGGGGGATTCTAGGCAGGGGCTCTACCACTGAGCCACACCCCAGCCCCTCACTGGGGGATTCTAGGCAGGGGCTCTACCACTGAGCCACACCCCAGCCCCTCACTGGGGGATTCTAGGCAGGGGCTCCACCACTGAGCCACACCCTCAGCCCCTCACTGGGGGATTCTAGGCAGGGGTTCTACCACTGAGCCACACCCCAGCCCCTCACTTGGAGATTCTAGGCAGGGGCTCTAACCCAGAGCCACACCCCAGCCCCTCACTGGGGGATTCTAGGCAGGGGCTTTACCACTGAGCCACACATCCCCAGCTCTGGGATTTTTTAGATAGGGTGTTCCTATATATCTCAAGCTTGCCTTGATTGCCTGCTGCCTCTGCCTCTTGAGATCTGAAATTACAGGTGTGGACCACCATACTTTGTCACAAAATGTGTAAGAGGGAAACGACTTACCGTCTCCCCAACGTGCCTGATGCAGCTGTGTGTTTTTCAAAAGCACCCTCACCAGGCTGAAGTTCCTGGCACCTCTTGCCGGAGGGCAATGCCAGGTGAGCAGTAGAGGGAGAGGAAGAGGTAAAGGGAGAGGTGTAGGGGAAGTTGTTTAAGAGGCCAGGCTGGCCTCCAGCTAGCTAGGCTTTGTAGCCAAGAGTGACCTTGAACTTCAGGGTCCTCCTGCCTCCATATCCCAAGTGCTGGGATTACAAGCACCTGCTACCACACCCAACTTTATTATTTGGTTTTTCCAGGCAGGTCGTACTTTGTAGGCTAGGCTGTCCTCAGATTTTGGAGTCCTGCCTTCATCTATGGGATGCTGGGTTCCGGGTGTGAGACACCATTCTGGCTTGAAATGTTTATAACAGCAGCATGGACAGCATTAAAGGGATGTTTAGAGGGGGATGGAGAGATGGCTCAGCAGCTAAGAGCGTGGCTGCTGCTCTTCCAGAGGTCCTGAGTTCAGTTCCCAGTATCCACAATGTTGGGGATATAATGAGGGATCTATAATGAGGGATCTGATGCCCTCTTCTGGCATAAAGGTGTACCTGCAGATGGAGCACTCATAAAATAAATAAATGTTTAAAACAAATAAAGGGTTGTTTAGAGATGTTCGTCGTTTACTTTCTCATTGGTTGGAGGTGAGTGCTGACATTCAAGCCAGGGACCTCCCCTTTACTCCTTACCCTTCTAGGGAGACGACTCCGCGGGAAGGCCTTCTATAACGTGGGTGAGAAAGTGTACTGCCAGGAGGACTTCCTGGTGAGTCTGCACTGTGTTGCTGGCCGAGCTGGGTGGGAGCAGGGGCGGGACCCTCCTTCGGACTCACATGCAGACCTGTGGCCAGCGACAGTGAGTGCCCCTTTGTCACGTGACGTCCTGGATCCTGTGTCCCCTCTCAGTACTCCGGGTTCCAGCAAACAGCTGACAAGTGTAGCGTGTGTGGACACCTTATCATGGAGATGGTAAGAAACTCCCCTGTGACCTGGAGTCCCCCCACCCCGGGGGGAGTCTGAGGGCCCCAATCTCTCCTGTTCCAGACCCATGGCAGGGCTCTGAGCCATGACCTCTTGGGGGCAGTGCTGAGTCCCGCCTGTGCCTCCCCCAGATCCTGCAGGCCCTTGGCAAGTCCTACCACCCCGGGTGCTTCCGCTGCTCAGTGTGCAACGAGTGCCTGGATGGGGTCCCCTTCACCGTGGACGTGGAGAGCAATATCTACTGCGTTAGAGACTACCACACGTGAGTGTCCTGCTGGAGCGGTGTGGTCTGCAGCACGGCCCTCAGTGGCTGTTGGCTGCCGACCTCGTGTTCTCACACTTGGGACAGGTGACTTAGTGACTTCCCGCTGTGGTGACGGTTCTTCACAAAACATTGTAAGGAGAGGTTGGTTTGGTTCACGATTCAGAAGACAGTCCACCATAATGGGCAAGGCCTGGTATTGAAGGCATGGTGTTGGGGACAGCGCTGGCTTTGGTGGAAGAGACCTCAGGAAGGAACCTGGAGTGAGCTGTCACCATTTAGCCCCCAGAACAGTGCCATCTGCTGGGGAGCAAGTGTTCTAACACATGAGCCCAGGGGATGGTTCGCATTGAACTATAAGGGCAGGGCAGGGCGTTTGTGCTTTCTGGTCCCTCTGCAGGGTAGTCTGGCCACCAGTCCCCTCCTGCCGCCTTTGCCTACATCTACCCCTCTTCTTCTGGTGGGCCTCACTTGACTGTTCCCTGCCGTCTGGCCTTTTGCTCCCGAGGGAAGGGTCCTGGTGCCACATGGGCAGCCAGTCTGTTGCTTGCCGTGGCTCCAGGCTCAGGCCTCAGAGCTCTGGGTCTGTGCTGCTGCTGATTTTAGCCTTGGTACTCAGGGTAGCAGAGGTCTCCCCCTAGGGATGGCTTCAGTCTGGATATCACGAGCTAGAGAATGCATAGGGGATGGCTGGAGGGGACCTGAGGCCGTCCTGGAGGAGGAGGAGGAAGGAGGCAGGAGACAGATAGGACCGCTTCAGCCATTAGTACCGAGAAGGCAGAAACGTGTCCACACAGGAGGGCAGGCTTTCCTTGGAGCTCTTGTGGTAGATCTACCCCTGTGCACTTGCCTGTACTCACCGACCTCCTCACGCCCACTTTCCTTTCACCTTCCAGGGTGTTTGCACCAAAATGTGCTTCCTGTGCCCGCCCCATCCTCCCTGCACAGGTAGGAACACTTCACCGGGAAGCAGCAGGGGCCTGGTCCTGAGGCTTTGCCCACTCCTCTGTGCTCTGTCTGAGATCCTGGGCCACAGTAGGAGTGAGCAAAGGTGGTCAGAGCTGAGGAACATAGGGCGTTCATGCAGGGGTGGGACAGATGTGCCCTGGATGAAGTGCTGCTAGTGTGTCCCACTACAGCGCTCTGCTCCACTACCTGCAATAGGGAAGGGCCGCACAACGGCTCATACCGTTCTGCAGTGGTGTTGGGTGGCCCAGGGCAAGAGGAGCAGGTGGGGAGGCCTCGGTCTGGGTTGTTGTTGTTGTTGATTTTTTTTGTTTTTTTTTTGAGACAGGGTTTCTCTGTATAGTTTTGGTGCCTGTCCTGGATCTCGCTCTGTAGACCAGGCTGGCCTCGAACTCACAAAGATCCGCCTGGCTCTGCCTCCCGAGTGCTGGGATTAAAGGCGTGCGCCACCACCGCCCGGCTCCTGTGCAACTCTTAATTTTGGGTCTTTGTATGTGAGCCATGTCTGTCCAGGTCAGTTTACCCAGGAAACTCGACTGGTAGTGGGAGTTTTGGCTCTAGAGAAGTGAAAATAGCATGTATGAGCCAACACCCACTCGACTTTTTTTTTTGGTTTTTCGAGACAGGGTTTCTCTGTGTAGCTTTGGTGCCTGTCCTGGATCTCGCTTTGTAGACCAGGCTGGCCTCGAACTCACAAAGCTCCACCTGGCTCTGCCTCCTGAGTGCTGGGATTAGAGGCGTGTGCCTCTACTGCCTGGTGTGACTTTCTTATTGTCACATGCATGTGTGTGGCTCCATTCGGGGAAGATGCCCAGGGCACATACATATCCACTCTTGTGCACCTGCTGAAGTACCATGTCCTTGTGCATGGGCCGTGTCTATCCAAGGTAGCACATTGTAGAGAGGGGCCTTGATGGACAGGCTCTGGTGCTCCAGGTCCAGGGAGGAGCCTGTGTGTGAACCCGCCTCTTCCTCCAGGGCTGTGAAACAACCATTCGTGTGGTGTCCATGGACAGAGACTACCATGTGGAGTGCTACCACTGTGAGGTACGCCCCAGCCTCACACCCTCCTCTGCAGACCCTCCCACACACTGTTGCCCCTTCACCCTGCGTGTCTGTTCATGGACCCCCTCTCGTGGCTTCTGCCCCATACTCCCCCAGCAAGCCTTTTCCTTTCTTTCCACCCACGCCTGTTTCTCTTTCCCATAGTCACATTTTCACTAGGTGGGTGTTGGAGTCAGTAGAATAGACGGGAATTCCCAAGTGGCACTGTCCACATAAGGTGATGTGTGCTGTTGAAGGAGTAGTCAGAGCCTTGAAAATCATGGAAGGTTTCTTGGAGGAGGTGACACCCAGCCTAAGATTTGAAGAAGAGTTAGCCAGGCAGTGCTTTAATGTTGAAGTGTGTGTGTGTGTGTGTGTGTGTGTGTGTGTGTGTGTGTGTGTGTGTATGTGTGTGTGTGTGTGTGTGTGTGTGTGTGTGTGTGTGTGTGTGTGTAGTTCTGTATTGCCGGTGAGACTGCCAGAGGTTGGGGGTAGAGGCTGTGCACGCTGAAGAGTACCAACTTCCCTGTTTTTCATTTTGCTTTTGAGACAGGGATTCTGTGTAGCCCAAGCTGGCTCAGAGCTTGCTTATGTAGCACAGGCTGGCCCAGAATTTGCACTCTAGTTTTTTGAGACAGGTTTTTTGCTGTGTGGTTCTGGCTGTCCTAGAACACACTCTGTAGACCAGGCTGACCACAAACTCAGAGATCCTCTTGCCTCTGCCTCCTGAGTGCTGGGAATAAAGGTGCCCAGCCTTAGAACGTGTGCTCTTAACTGCCTTAGCCTCCCTAGTTTGGGGTTTACAGGGGTATGCCTCCATACCCAGCATGCCTATAGTCCCAGCACTCAAGAGATTGGGACAGTACATATCAGCGGGGGCTTACCAAACAAAATGACAACCATGCAGGAAACTAATTATGGAAGAGGGGGAGTTACAGGTAGGGACCCAAAAAAGGAAGCTGGTGGAGTCGAGTGGCAGTGGGGATGGGGGTGTGTGTGGTAGGTGACTGGATGTGGATGTGTAGGAGATACAATGTGTGCATCAGAATTCTAGCAGAGGATGAGTATGCTGTAACTTACTGTTACTGTAACAAATACCAGAAGTCACCCACTTACATAACAAAGGTTTACTTCAGCTTGGTTGTAGAGGTTGTACCCCATGATGGTTGGTTGACTCCATTGCTTTGGGCCTGTGGTGTGACAGAGCTGCTCACCTCATTATTGGTAAGGAAGAGGGCTGGTGAGACCTTCTAGATGGCTCAGTGGGTAAGGACACCTGCTACTGAGTCTTAGGGCCTGAGTTTAATCCCTAGGACCCCACCTGGTGGAAGAGACAGCTGATTTCTGCAAGTTTCCTCTGACCTTCACATGCATGCTTTGGTACACCTGCATTCACATACAAATAATACATGCAGCCAGGCATTGGTGCCTTTAATCCTAGCACTCGTGATGCAGAGGCAGGTGGATCTCTGTGAGTTCGAGGCCAGCCTGGTCTACAGAGTGAGTTCCAGGACAGCCAGGGCAACACAGAGAAAACTTGTCTTTAAAAAAAAAATAACAACGATAATAAAATAATACATGTATGTGGAAAAAAAGAGGTCAGTGTTCCAGAGTCCTCTTGAGGACATACCCCCAAAGACCCAAAACCTCTTTGATGGTTCAACCACTCCTCCCAAGACATGAGACCAAGCTCACCCCCCTGTTGTTTGTTTGCTTTTTTGAAATAGGATCTTACTGTGTAGCAAGCTTTCTCATCAGACTTTCTTGGACTGCCAGCCCACAAATAATGACATGGAGACTTCTTATTCATTTTGAAAGCTTGGCTTTAGCTTAGGCTTTTTTCCAACTGTCTCTTATAACTCAGATTAACCTGCTTCTCTTAATCTATGTTCTGCCACTTGGCTTTTACCTCTCTGTATGTCCAACTTAATCTGTGTCTCGCTGGTGTCTCTGTGCATTTAGATTCATCTCCTCCTCTCTCCCTGGAAATCCCACCTATCCTCTCCTGCCTAGGTATTGGCCATTCGGCTCTTCATTAAACCAATCAGAAGGAGCCTTGGCAAAGACCCATCTTCATAGTGTACATAAAGATTCTCCACAACATTTCCCCCTTTTTGTCTAAATAAATGTTTTATCATAACTTAATATTACTAACCAAAAAATACCTTTTTAGATTTAAATCTTTTAAATACCTTAAAAGATTTTCTTAGGTAAACAATTTAAGCTTTTATATCTCAACCTTTATAAACTTTACATCTCTTTTGTAAGTTTTTTTTTTTTAACTTTGGTAAGAGAAAACAGTATAACTATCTAGTCTTCAGCCCTCATCAGAGACCCAAGAAGGATAAAATATTATTAGAGTAAACAGGAAGTTTAGAGAAAGCAACTTCCCAAACTAGAGAAACGACAGACAGTCGGCTGCCTATACAGTCACCCAAGGTTCCTCTGCAATATTGGGGCATCCATCTTTAGCCTACAGGCTTAGAACATCTGACAGACTTTCCTGTAAAGCAGAGAATTTTGAAGGACTGTCCTACCTTGTCTTGCCAAAGTTTGACAGTCGCCTTTTGTGTCCTGCTTGTCCAGTTTGGACAGCATACTGTCAGCAGTTGAGGCAAGGGAAGTTTCTTTGCCCAGTGGCTAACTTTGTCACAGTCAAAACAAACTCCATATGGAGGTTCTTTGATGACCATCCTCCTCTCTGAAGTAGATTGGTGCTGCCAGGAGCAGACATGTCTCACTGTCATGAAAAGCTTTGTTATTAAAACATCTTAAATACCATATTCTGTAGATCTCTGAAGTGTTTGAAGACCATCTTTCTATTTAAAATATATTTCTTGAAAATATTCCTATATGACTACAAGTTTGATTGTTATAGATGACTGACTACTAACCTACATTTTTTAATTATCCTAAACAGTTTTTAATAATAGCCTTTAAGGATTAGAACTTTACATTTTAAAATGAGCTGCATAGGTACAATACCTTAAACAAGAGCAGAAACATATATACAGTATGTTCTAACAAAAATAACCTTAAATTTATATCATTGTTTAAAGATCCATACCAATATAAAATATTTGAGACTAGTGGTTGCTTTTTTGTGTTTTAAATTAGATTCAATAATCTACCCTCTTATTCTGTTGTTCCTATACCCCCCTTTTTCTTTTCAGAAAGAAGTCTAACCTGCTTTGTTTAGTTTTTCCCTGACCATGACCAGTAGCAGCTTGCAACCAACCCCCCTAAAAGATGACAAACATTTATAACCCACCCACCTCACCTCTTGGGACTGTGAGCGTTGTGTTCTCTAGACTGCTTCCTGCTGTCTGGGGACATTGACGTCTCCAGGGGACCCTGAGAAAACTGGGACAATGGTCAGGTCCTGGGAGAGCTAGCTGTATCAGTTTCTGTTTAGTCTCTGTGTGATGGGCAAGTGTGTGGTTGTGCCACATGTTGGATGCCAAGTATAGTGGCTTCTTTTATTGTTTCATTGATAAACAAAGCTCAGGAGTCAGATATTAGGGTATAAACCTGATAGATGCACAGAATGGAGAAAATGATCAGCTGATCCTCCTCTCCACAGGTACCAAATGTAGTAAACTTTCTCATCGGACTTTCTGGGACTGCCAGCCCATAATTAATGACACGGAGACATACTATTAATTATAAAAGCTTGGCCTTTAGCTTAGGCTTTTTCTCCAACTAGCTCTTATAACTCAGATTAGCCTGCTTCTATTAATCTGTGTTCTGCTGTATAGCTTTTACCTCTCTTCCATTCTGTCCGTCTGACTTGCTTTGCCTCTTGCTGGCATCTCTGCACACCTAGATTAATTTCCTTCCCCCACCCCCACCCCACCCCACCGACCAGAAATTCCGCCTGTCTTCTCCTGCCAAGGTATTGGTCATTCGGCTCTTTATTAAACCAATCAGAAGGTACCTTGGCAAAGATATATCTTCACAGTGTACAAAAAATTTATCCCACAATAGTCCTGGCTGTCCTGGAACTCACTGTGTGTCTGCACTAGGGCACAGATCCTGTGCACACTGTTAGAACTCTATTGCTGAGCTAGATCTCCAGCCTTTGGACGATTTTGTTAGCCCAGGCTGGACTCACACCCAGTCTCTTTCTTCAGCCTCCTGGGGTTACAGTCTGCTAAGTGTGTTTGGAATTTTGTTGTCTTTGGTTCCTTTGAGGCACAGTCTTGCTCTGTAGCTATGGCTGCCTGGAACTCGCTATGTAGATCATGCTGCTTGGAACTTTACTCACTGCCTCTGCTTCTGGAATGCTGGGATTACAGATGTGGCGACCACACCTGGCTTGGTGGCTGTTGCTTTGTGTGTATGTGTGTGGGCATCCATGTCTGTGTGTGGGGTGCTGAGTCAGAACTGGCGTTATTGGAGTCTGTGGGAGTCTGGCTTGTCCTGGGGTGCAGGGGTCTGAGCTGTGGTCTACATGGAGGTGCACCAAGCTTTTAGCACTGAGCCAGCCATCTGTCCCTCCAGCCCTGCCCTGTTCTCAAAAACCATAGCTTGTGAAGCGGGGTGTGGTGTTGCAGCCTTTAATCCCAGCACTCTGGAGGCAGAGGCGGGTGGGTCTCTGTGAGTTCGAGGCCAGCCCAGTATAAAACTTGAGTTCTAGGGCAGTCAGGGGTATAGAGAGATCATGTCTTAAGCAACAACAACAACAACAAAAAGAACAGAAACAAAGAAAAAAAAACAGTATAAATTGTTAGGCAGAGCCCATATTCACTGCCCATCCCTGCCCTTTCCCTGAGGCTAGACTTGATTCCAGGTCCTTGGGTGTCAAGGGCTTCTCTTCTATTTCATTAATGTCCATAGCTGGCGTAATCTACCACAACCCTGATGCTCCTTTGGTAAGGATGCCCAGCCTCCTGCTTACTGGGGTTCAGGGTTGTGGTTTTTCTCTGCAGGACTGCGGGCTCCAGCTGAGCGGGGAGGAGGGACGCCGCTGCTACCCCCTGGAGGGGCATCTGCTCTGCCGCCGATGCCACCTGAGGCGCCTGGGACCCGGCCCGCTCCCCTCGCCGGCTGTGCACGTGACTGAGCTCTGAGAAGCAGCCATCAGGAGAGACGGATGACCCACGCTCCCCTCTCTTCCCCCCTCCACCGAGCTGCTGTCCTTACGCAGGGGCCGGACCCCCGCGACAGATAATCGATTTCTATTTATTCACCATCCGTGCCTCAAGCCACTTCCCCTGTTGGGTTCTGGGACACCCGCACCCTGCAGCCTCGGGACAGGCCCAGCTCCTCCGCCTGACCTCAGCTCCCAGAGGCAGGGCTTGGAGGGTCTTGGTGCCATGGGGGAAGGGTGCCTTGTTTGTGTGTGATCACAGCCAGGGAGCAGTGACAACCTGGGCATGCCGTGGTTTGGCCTTGATGGGTGTTTTCAGCCACAGTCCTCCCCCTCTCTGGATCCCAGCCTGGGCCAGTGCTCTTCCAGCATCAGCCCCAGAAGACCCTGTGCGAATTCAGACGCAGAGAGAAAGCCCACGAGGGCTCCCCGCAGACCCCGGGAGCATCTGCGCGCACTGTCTCAGGCTCCACCACAAAACTATGTGATTTGACTTAAATTAAGTTCCCCCCAAGGAGGATGTTGGCATTTTCTTTAAAAGAATATAGTTTTCTTCTAAAAACTCGGACCAAAGTGGTTATTTCTTAGTCCCAGCAGATGCTCTTGTGCCACACGTTCGTGTAACATGCAGCTGAAGAGGTGGGAAGAACGTTTGTAGTTTTAACTATTTTTGCATGAATTCTAGAGTATCTCCGAATCTTAATGTGGGGTCGTGTGTCAGAATCTTATGGGCAGGGACCTCATGAGCTTCAGGCAGGGCAGATGTAAATTAGATTTTCTTTGGAGAGAGAGTACTTCCCAGGTGCTGGGAAGTTGAAGCTGGTTAATGAAGACATTGAACCTGTGCTTGTGGATGGCCCTGGCCAGGCCGTGTCTAAGTACTGTTGATGGAATCCTTTGTTGTCAGTGATGTGTTTGGCTTTGCTTTGGTTTTGTTTGTTATTTGGAATCAGGGTCTCCCTTTGTAGTAACCCAGGCTGGCCTTGAATTTCCGAGCTTCCTGCATGACCCTCTGGAGCGATACATTTCATTCGTGTTTGTGGAATCATTTGGCAGGACTGAGCACTAGTGTTACCAGGGAAGTTTAGAGATGGACTGGGAAGGAAGCCTAAGGACAGTTTAATTGGAGTTTAAGGTCAAGGGTGCAGGTTAGGTGGGAATCCAAGCAGCCACCAGGAGAGATGAAGAAAAGGGCGTGCTTTCTAAGGCGGGGGAGCAGAAATGGGTGTTAGGAACAGAGCAGCAGCCAAGGAGGGAAGTAAGCTAGTGAGCTGAGGACAGCCCCACAGCCTCCCGCTTTTTATAGTGTGCTCCCCCTCTTGGGTGTTCCCGGCTCCTGCACTGTTTGTCAGAGGATGCCTCTGCAGGCTGGCTGCTTTCAGGTTACTCTTCATGTAACTTTCTCCAATTCCTGTTCTCCTGTCACACTAGGGACCAAAACGGGCGCACAGCACTGGACAGTAGAGAAACCGATACCGTTGATCCAGCCGTGCTGAAGTCTGGGAATAGGGCGCCCCCTGGTGGGCTGAGGACGCAAACAAGTACCTAGATGCTTAAACCTGGTTTTTAGTCCTGAGGTTCGGGAAGTATTCCTAAAGATGGGGACTTGTACAGCAGCCAGAGTGGCTTCCTAGAAGAGGTGACCCCAGTGGGACCCGAAGGGTAAATTCCAAAAGTGGTATTCTCACTTTTTGGCTTTTAGTTACTTTTGAACTAATTAGGTTTCTTGTTTTTGTTTGCTTTTCCACCCAAGTGCTGGATATGGAGCCCAGGAACTCCCACATGCTGGGGAAATGCTCTACCACTGAGCCACGACCCAGCCCCTCACTGGGGGATTCTAGGCAGGGGCTCTACCACTGAGCCACACCCCAGCCCCTCACTGGGGGATTCTAGGCAGGAGCTCTACCACTGAACCATACCCCCAGCCCCTCAGTGGGCGTTTCTAGGCAGGGGCTCTACCATTGAGCCACACTCCCAAGTCTCCAGATACTGTTGGGTTTGAGCTAAGCACTCTACCACAGAGCCACATTTCCAGTCCTCACTAGGGAATGTTAGCTAAGCCCTGGGCCATGTCTGCAGCCTCAGCTTTGCCTTCTCTAGCTAGTTGGAAAGCTTTCTTCTGACTTGTGTTTGTCTGCACCCTCTACCTCTTACTCTGAGCCTGGTTCCTCCATGTGGCACTTCCTCTTACTTGTTTCTCTGAGTCCAAACTGGAGGTAGACCCTACTGTTTCAGTCACAGGAGTCACCAAGACGGTCCACATCTGTGTCACCTCCCTATACCTGCCTGGACTGAGACCTCACACCATGGCCTCCCCCCCACTCCGTGCTTTGTCAAAGTGTGTGGAACAGTGGCTTTGTTGCAGCCATGCTGTCCGTTCTCTGCAGGCTCTGGGTCCCATCATGCTCCCCACTCACGCCAGCCACTGTCCACGCAGCTGCTTCCAGTCCTGTTGTCACTTCTCATCAACTCCTCCAGACCTTGGGCTCCCAGCTATTAAACCTCACTTAGTACCCGTGTTTCCAGCCCCTGCTCTGCAGGCTCACTCTCCAGATGCCTCATCCCAGTCCCTGTCGCGAGCTGCAGTGACCTGGTGTGGTTAGGACTGAGGATGCCGTTTGAGAGCCGTACTCCCAGCCTGGAAGATGGCCAGGAGCCTCCTGCTCCACCAAGCCCAGCTGCCCTCCCCTGGCATCCCCCCTGGCATGGGCACCTGGCAACTCCGGCCGCACCTTTGGTCAGTGTTGGACTTGGATGTGTTGGATCCACTTATCCCTTGACGTCCCCCCCATAGGTGGTGAGGTAGCCAGGCCAGGCTTAGTCATGGTTGACCTTTCTCTCCTTTGCAGTGCCTCGGGGGTCAGAGCCAGACGCTTTTGGTCTCCCATTGGTTAGCACGTCCAGTTCAGACTGAGTCAAACAGGAGCCACAGGTGGGATCGGAAGGCCTGGAAATGGGTTCATACACACGTCAGGCTTGTTCATGTATGCCACATCTGTACACTTACATGCGTGTAGTGGAGCCTGGTTCATGCCCAGGGACACAGACCCACGAGTGCTTGGTCTCTTGCGCGTGTGCGTGTGTGTGTGTAGAAAGTAGTGGCTGGGAGGTTAGAGAGACGGAGGGTTCTGAGAATGGTAGAGAGAGACAACAAGCTGGCATGGTGGCGAGAGACTGAGACAGGAGGATTGCTGCCAGACCAAGTCTAGCTTGGGTTGTGTAGTGAGACCCTCTGTCAAAAAAAAAAAAACAAAAAACGAGGGCCTGGGGAGAAGGCTCAGTGGGTAGAGCTTGCCCCACAAGGGGTTCTTCCTGAGAGGGGTTTGGGGGAACCGTCGATGACATGGGCCTAAATAAAGGGAGGGACCCTGTAGAGCAGGGACTCGTCTGGACCTGAAATGATCTGGCAAAGCTTCAGAGAAGTCACCATAACAGGCAGCCCACGGTCTGAGCAATGTTCTCAGTGGAACGTTCTGCGTGGGGACGTGGGCAGGGCTGGAGGAGTGCAGCCCGCAGATGTGGGATCTGGGTTAAAAGCACCAGCTGCTCTTCTATGAGGACCCAGGTTCAATTCCCAGTGCCTCCATGCTGGCTTGCTGTAACTCCAGTCCCTGGGGATCCGAGGCCCTCTTCTGACCTCTGCTGGAAACAAACACACATGTGGTTCACAGATATACACTCAGGTAAAACGGCCATACACATAAAACAAAAATAAATAAATCTGATTAATTGAACCTGAGGTGTGGGCTGTGAAGTGGATCCAGGTGCGCAAATGACCCCTGGGAGTGGGTGGCCATTCCTCTTTGCAGTCTTCCATGGCTCCCAAACCATGGGAAATATGTCCCCAAGCTGACAGGTAATGAATAGCAGGAAGGATGTACTCGGTGATATTTGTTCAACTGCCAAACACCTGTCTGCACCCAGCCACCACTGCCATCAGCCACACCCAGTGGCCCCTCACCCCTCCTGCTGTGTAAGCAATGGTGTCACTAACATCTGTCACGTTCTCCTTACACTATGCTCAGAGGACTGCCTCACAGGCTCGCCACCCCAGCCTGGGCTGCCTGCCACACAGGCCGTGTCCCCTGCATGACACCACTGGATCATATAGTCTCTTAGGATAGCACCTTCAGCCTGGGGATACTGATGATGATGGGGGAGCACATGTGGGACAGTTACCCACTTGTCTTTTATTTCAACATCTTATGGAACTTGGAGATTGATTGCTGAGCTGAGAAGAGAGGACCTGGACTCCAGGCTTTCCTAGCCGTGCTCCCTCTTCTCTGGCCCAGCTGGCTGGCCTTTTTTTTTTTTTTTTTTTTTTTTACCTATTCAGTAGACCAGGCTGGCCTCCAACTCACAGAGATCCACCTGGCTCTGCCTCCCGAGTGCTGGGATTAAAGGCGTGCGCCACCACTGACGAGCCTCCAACTGGCCTTTCTAACTGAGTTTGGACATGGGTCTGAAGAAGGCCACATCCCCAAGCCATGTGGATCTCAGCCAGGGCTTGTTAGCATTGAAGCCAGATGTGAGTGTGGGTCCTGCCGGCTCAGAGCCCCATAGCATCCGCAGTAAGGCATCATTTTTTGTTCGTTTTGGTAACTCCAGCTCCAGGGCATCTCGTGCCTTCTTGTGGCCTCAGTTGGCATTCTTGTGCACATACCCATCCGTAAGTACACATATTCATAATAAAAATGAAATAAACCATATTTATCATTTATTTATTTATGTGTGTGTTGGTGGCACCTGCCACAGTGCATGAGCTATGGCCTGGCTGTGGAGGTCAGAGGACAACTTGCAGATGTCAGTTCTCTCCTACCACATGGGGTCCAGGGATGGAGCTCAGGTTGTCAGGCCTGGGGGAAAGTACCTTTACTACTGAGCCATCTTGGCTCTTAGGAGATTTTAATGTAGATTTAAAGGATGCACTCTGGGAGAAAGTGAAGTGAGGGTGTGGGACTCCAAAGAGTTGTTTTTCTTCCTTTTCTTCTTTCATCCATCCTTCCTTCCTTCCTTCCTTCCTTCCTTCCTTCCTTCCTTCCTTCCTTTCTTTTTTAGACAGTTCCTCTGTGTTACAGTTCTGGCTGTCCTGGATCTCGCTCTGTAGACCAGGCTGGCCTCAAACTCAGAGATCCACCTGCCTCTGCCTCTCAAGTGCTGGGATTAAAGGTGTGTGCCACCACCGCCCAGCTGTATGTTATTTTTGTGTGAATGTAGGTTCCAGGACAGCCAGGGCTACACAGAGGAACCCTGTCTTGAAAAATCAAGCAATGGCTCAGCAGTTAAGAATATTGGCTGCTCTTCCAGGGGACCTGGATTCAATTCCCAGCACCCACATGGCAGCTCACAGCTGTTTGTGATTCCATTTCCAGAGGATCTGACACCCTCACACAAGCATACATACAGGCAAAGCACCAATGCACATAGATAAATTATTTTAAAAAATCAAACAAAAATGGAAACAGTGCTATAGAGATTTTGGTACTCTAGTACTACAGTGATTTTTGAAGTTATCTTTGGAAGGAATTAAAGTGAGGTCATGAGGATGTTACTCAGGTGTGCCTG